TTTTCTTCAACAAAAAGCAAAGTGTGATCAGTACACACAAGTCAGATGCTTTCGTTGTTAAGACCCCGTAACTGATCAATAGTGAACGATTTACAGATGTCCGATTAAAGGTTGACTTTCTAAAAAGAGTATAAATTTTTTGTCATTTTTTGTGTTATATATTAGTCCTGGGAATTATTGATCTATGTATTATACACTCAATCGTAGCACACGCATTCATGTCCGTATACATGCAATCGCGGTTTCAATTTCACTCTGTTGTCTCTGTGCATAAGTTGATAGGTAATCCTTTCAGTACGTACGCAATCAATTTGGTTTCAATTTTCGGCATTAGTTTCATCTTTGTGCTTCTGGCAATAAAAAAAATCCTATTCTCTGCTTCTGTATATGCTTTGTGTTCTATTGAAGCAAATTCTTTAAATATTCGATCTAAATAAAGTTTTTTGTTTGAATTTTTTGTGCTCTTAAATTATTCGAATCCGTCACGGAATGGCGAGGCGCATATTCATTTAGTGAAAACGTTTGCAATACCCAGAAGAAAGGTACACAAATCCCACAAAGTATATACTTTCCTGATTAGCATTAAATTTTGTGTCGATTTAAACATGTCCATCCGTATGTCTATGTGGAAACATACCCCTGGCCGCAAAAAGGTAGCTATCGCCTTCAAATTTGACTAAAGTATTGAAAGTTTTTGGGTTTGGGTATTGCAAATGATCCAAATCGGCCGAAGAATATGCCTAAAGTACCACGTAACCTGAGAACATCCCAGCTTTCCAAGAGAAATAACGAATTGTTTTCTTGGTCACTCCTCATGAACTATTGCAGATAAATCTACAAAAATTTCAACTCCTGTTCTATGGGCGATGCTATAACATCGGTACAAAAATGGGAAAAATGTTGACCAAACTTATCCAACGTCATGGTGTACAAAAATTTATTTTATTTTATTCAAGACATAAGGCGTAGAAGCAAACCCTTTAAAGGTCCTATAATGTATATGCTATGCGTCTACTTTCTTCGTATGTTTGATCAACATCTTCGCCTTTGTAAAGAAATGGACATCACATAAAAATATGCAAAAGAATTTGAAAATGACCAGAAATTGTCAAAGGACACGTCGACAACGTCCAAGCGGCTAAGTAATAAACGAATGCCTTTGATTTCCTTGCTCTTTGCTCAGTATTCATAAGCTATAATGGTCAGACGATATAGATTTTAACGTTTATTTTAAGAAACGGGAAAGAGTCACCCTAGCCCACCCAATATTATAGAGTTGTGAACTATATCAAAATATAGTGAAAGGATTTTTCTTTTTTTTTTAATATTTTTTAGGATAATGATGATGGGTATAACAGATTCGGTTACAATCGAAAAAGAATGTCTCACAGTTTTTTTTTTTTTTTTTTTTTTAATAAATGAACTTTGCTGTTTTTTAATTGTACACATATATGTTCCAATTACCGTTATTTGCTGCACCACTTTTGATTTACAATCAAGTATATTATAATCCATTTCCTTCAAATGTGTGTAATATTTAGAAGAAGAAGATACTTCAGAAAGACCACTCGTTAATTTAGAATGGCTCTCTGAATTGACTGTCCATCGGCGCGTCTCATGTTTGCTTATGTGTTCATGTGTTCAAACCACGAATCTTAACATTTTAGACATTTTGACGAATTTTTTTCGTCCGACATGTTTTGGACAAATTACAAGCGTTACCTCGCTACATTTTCTCTTAAAAAAGTTGTTATGTAAAAGAAAAAAAAGAAATACAATTTTGAAAATATTTCGATACAAAATCGCTGAAGAATTTATATCGCGCAGGCCAATTAGTGAATCCCCTCCCATGGAACTGATCGTGCAAACAGAAGACTCTTCTTATATGATAACAAGGTCTAATTTTCAATGTTTATATGATGAAAAGTAATCTCCGATAGTAATTTCACCTAAGCATTAATTGTAACAAATGTGGACCTCGAAGGTGTTCATCTCTCGAGAAATAAGTCTTTATAGAGCAAGAATGTTTTATATTTGTCATGTTATATGGAAAATAGATGAAAAATAATAAGAGCTTGGGCAACGTCAATTATTGTTGGCTTCAGATCAGGACAGTTTACGTTCCGCGTTTCGTTTTCTATAAAAATTCCCATGATAAGCATGTCCTTACTTGGAACAAATGCATTCTTTTTAGATGGTTTATCATAAAAATGAAGAAAAAATTATTTTAGGCAGAGTGATGTAAGGTATTTAGTGATCGACCTTAGTTAACTATAAAGTTTTTGCTTTTTGTTCTCTTTTTTATTGTACCGACAATAGAATGTTGGGGTAAGAGGTACTATAAATCGCTTTCACTTCACCCGGAAATAGGCTCCACACAGAGTGTACAGTGACGTAATTACCTCCGAAATTCCGTTCCTATCGCCTTTAAAGCCACAACAGTGATGGTTATAATAAATAGCTTTTGCCAAATTCAGACAAATACATTAGATATCTCTCAGAGCTTACAATTCTATGTCGATTTGATTCTGTCCGTCCGTGAGTCTGTTGTGGGAACACACCGTTACTAGATCGACAAACACAAATAAAGAAATTAGAACGGTGTCTAAGTCTAATGTAGAGTTTCATTGTTTGTCTGTCTGTCCGTCCGTTGCTTTTTGCTTCGTTCATCTTCAAAACTTGTTCGATTAGATTAGTTTTCTTTTTGTCATTGTTTGTTTACCTGAGCGATTTTCATGATTACATAATTCGAAATCGAACAACTAGCTGCGTTACGTCACCGTCACTGTTCAATCCACTGCCGATTATTTCAATTCTAAGTCGCGTTTAAACAAACTGCCATCATAATCTAATCAAAAGTAAATATGTATTAGAGTAAATATGTAGAAACGACTTTAAAGACGAGATACATTTATTTTCGAACAAAAAAAAAAAGAAAAAAGGGAAAAGCTTCGTGCCGGATATATAAAAACTTTTATTTTTAAATAAAACGTCTTTATTGACGTCGCTGCATGATTTATTACGGTTTTTGTAAATTATTTATAAAAATCATGCTTATCGCAGGCGTAACAGACCGTGCAAAGCATTAAGAAGCCATATTCATTTATTTATTTTGGCTTTTAATAAAAGTTTAAATTTTTGAACCAAAATAATATATCAGAAAAAATTGTATAAGCGAAAAATATATTGGAGAACACAATGTAAATATGAATTTATGACTGCGTTACTTTGCCGTTGTGTAAATGTGTGAGTTGCACAAAAAAAAAGGAGGAAAAGAAAAAAAAAGGAAACGAACACACAGCCAACTATTATTCTGTTATATACTTTCTACGATCTTTTTGTTACTTGTCATCGATTTTTTTCATTTTGTTTTTTTTTTCATAATCTGGCGAGTTTTTTTCCATTTATATTCTGTGTTTAAGATTCCATGACTGTTCAGTTTAAAAATGGCTTTTTACGCCCATTATCCAACGACAACTTGGTATATTAATTATATCATCCGGGTTGTAACAAATAAAAATATAAGAATTCTGAAGAAGCGATTAAATTGAAGGTCATTGAACATTTTTTGTGACCTGGGGGAGGGACCGACAGATTTGTTTCCCATTGCTACACGGCTGGCTTCTAATAGCTCTTAAGCGATAAATAAACTTAAGGTAAATTTTAAATATGTCTTGGAAAAAAAAACCCCAGACAAAAACCCAATGCTGAGTCAAGGCTCACCCTACACGCTATAGTCTTTTATATAACTGTTTGCAAAAAAAAAACAGTATATGGAGAATGGTCGAAGAAGGGGCTTCATCCGAACCATTTTCAATATCGTTCTCGTCCTTGAATCGAAACACGTCAGTGTGGTAGATTTCATCGAAGCATCTTCAAAAATTGCGCCCCGCAGGTTGAACCCAAATAAAAACAAAGCGGACAGACGGACAGGCTGGCTTAGAGAGTGAATCTGAATCGATTACTATACTAAGTAGAGAAGGTAGACTTATCTCAAGTCCTTCTGTATTTTGCATACGTACTTTTTCACCAGAAGGGAAGTTTGTATAGAAATTCAAACCAGAGTAGTTAGCGGAGAGTTTTCTGTATGTTCGCCTAAGCTTATGGCTATAAAAGATCAACGCCAAGATGAAAACATTTTCCTTGCTGGGCCTCTTCTATTGCTTTAGTTGATGTTTCTAATTTTTTTCTTTTCCTTAGTCCTTGCAGTGGGTATATTAGACGTGTTAAATTCTTGCAATATATAAAGGTATGGATCTCAAGCCTTGTAAACGGTATACAATTCTGATCAGCGATCGGCTTACATTTGTTGGTAAACCTGCTTCCTTGGAAGGAAAGATAAATTTAGACATATCCGTTGGTTTGTATTTTTGAAATGGGGAATGGATTTACGTATGTCCCTTAGGCTGCTTTTTTGAAGCGCTAGATTGACTTAAATATGCTTATCAATCTGCCTTTTTACAATGAAGGATCGACGTAAATATGTTACTTAATCTTGCCTTTTTGAGGGGAAGGAGCGACTTACATATATCTAAAGCGACAATTCGCATTAGGTGTAACCGTTAATCTGCCCGTTTCGAAACTGCAGATCGACTTGAATGTGTTATGCGATATCATGGAATGCGATATCATTGAAAACTGCGATAGACTTACATATGCTCGTCAGCCTGCGTCCTTGAAACGAGGTAAAGCGTTATCAACCTATCTGTCAAACACAAGGAAGGATCGGCGAAACTTGACTTCTATTGAGGATCGATATGAATATGGTGTTCGAATTTACTATTCGGATTGAAGAATCGAAAAGCGCAACCAACGTATGTATATCCGTCAGGCTGCTTCTTTGAATCAAGGAAACCAATCTATTTGTCAAGCACAAGGAAGGATCGACATAAACAAATTCCCTGAATCTTGCATAATCGAAATGAAAATTTGATTAGAATATGTCCCTTTGAAATGAACGTTCCACATCCGTGCATCTGTAATAGTAGAGATTGACTTACATGTGACTGTCCGTCTGCCCTTCGATGTGACTGTCAAGCTGCGTCTTGCATGGGAAAGATTAACCTGAGTAGAATTGTCGATTGCTATTTTCGGCATTGAAGCATCGATATAAAGACGGCTCTCGGTTCAAGCTATTTGATATGAAGAATCGTCTTGAGCGGTCTGCCATATTGTTTTAAATCTGCCCGTCGATCTACTTGTTTGGAATCAAGAAACCAAACGAAACATCCACTCAACGAATCTAGTTGTTAAAAGGAATGCGTGATGGGCATCTTAAGATTCGGTTTGAGCCAAATGTAATTTTCTTTCTTCTTCTTGAATATTATTATTTTTATTTTTATTATAATTATTATTATTGTTATCATTATAATGTAAATAATGTTTACGTTGTCGAAGGCCGTGTCCCTCGTACCCGCACTGAGAAATGAATCGTTTGTTAGTTGTGCAACTACGCATAAATCAGCCAGTTTCGTATGCTTATGCTAATGTTGGGGCCACGTGAAATGGGAAAAAAAGAATGATGCCTTCTTCTAGCTCGGGGCTATTGTTTGTCATTAACAAGGCCAACGTCAACTAAGCGCACCACGCCGCTACTACCATCATCATCATCATCATCATCATCCTCCCACATCTCTCGCATGTAATGAAAACTAAACAAAAACGGTCATGCAAAACAAAATCCATTCATATACCAACGAACAAGAGTTTAAAGTTTTTAATGTTGACCTAAAAAAACAAGGGGAGAAAAAAAAAACAAATGAAAAGAAAAGCAAGAGAAAGCCAACCGTAAACAAACAAATGCTATAGGAAATGAAAGCAGTTAATAGTTTTGAAAGCATTCAACTTTTACCATAAAAATATTTTCTTAAAAAAAAAACAAAAAAAATATTAAAAATGTTTTCTTTTTCTCATTAATTATGTTAAAGTTTAAGATCAAGAAAATGTATATAATGTGCTCATTATTTTATAGCAAAAAAAAAAAAAAAAAAAAAAAGACAAACGGAAAAATATATCTAATTAAAAGTTTATAGGAAAGAGCAAGAAATAAAATTCGCATAAAGACAAACAAACAAATTTTGCTTAATAATCTCTTTTACATTGCAATTCAATTTATTATAATAAAGATTATGGCTATGAATGAATGTTTTGCTCAAATGAGCAGAACAAGGCAGTGATGCTGCTGCTGCTGCTGCTGCTGCTGATGATGATGATGATGATGATGAGGATGATGGAGATGGAGATGAAGAGCGGGTACCAAAAGATTCGAAACCAGGCTGTTTGTACGTTAGCAAAAACCTTATCGTGTTTCATTTGTTTGGTTTTGTTTAAAGCCAATAGCATCATTACGTTTATAGCTTATATTGTATGTAGATATTAAACGAGATTTGCTACGCTTTTCTTCTTTTTTTTTTTTCTTGCTTCTCTCTTTGCATATATACATAGTGGGTATTTGCACATGCGGTTGTTGTTACTGGCCTTGTACTACATTTCATTTTTACTTACATACATGTATGTATGCATGCAATTGCGTGTGTGTGTGTGTGTTTTTGTGTTTTAGTAAGCATTCGAATGGCAGTAAGCACGTGACTCTTTTTGCTTTGTACTTTCAATGAGAGAAAAGAAAATGCTTTTAATAATAGTTCACGTGCACTAATGAGATGTGCTATAGGATTTAAATGCATTAAATGAATGCATTTTGGTTTTTTTTTTGCTTCCTCTTTTTTGCTTTTTAAATTTTATTAAGAAGTCTTAAACGTAAGCAATCATTTAGGCGAGATGTCTTTTATACGCCTGTACAACAGTGATGGTCACAAAAAGAAGTTGTTACACCTGTCTCTAGGGTGGCTGGTTAGGAGAAATTTCTCTTATACGTGTGCTTAGGTGTGTGGATTGGAGAGATTGCCTTTTACATGTGGACTTCACCGATATCACACAACAAAGTTGGTAGACTTGTCTCTACGGTGAGTGGTTAGGGGGATGCCTCATACACGTGTAAGTCAATGAAGGTCACAAAAAGAAGTTGGTAGACCTATTTCTAGGATGAGTGGTTAGCAAAGATGTCTTTTATAAGTGTTTCTCACTGATGGTCACAAAAAGAAATTGTTAGACATGTCTCTAGGGTGAGTGGTTAGGAGAGATGTCTTTTATATGTGTGTTAATGATGGTCAAAATGTCACTTATTACTTAGCTCGTAAAATCTAAAGATTTACATGTCAATAACGACTAAGGCTAGATGACAAATTAGCATTCGGAACGTAGTTCTTTTTAGCGCAGTTTTGCATGCGGACGTTAAAACACACTCTTCCCTTCCTATCTATAATCATTGCTGGCGACCATCGTGCTTGCATGTGCAGAGTGCATTCCTTTAATAACTGGTCATAAAAAAAAAAAAAAAATCAATAAAAACAAAAAAACGAAATTGATTTGAAGACATCCCACTGAATAACATCTATCCGCATCTAGACAATACCCCGTTCGCTGTCCAAATCCCAACGCGGTGAAGTTTACTTTGGTCGCAACTGTAGTGAGTGCTCAGTCTGACCCCTCACCGAATTACATGATTAGAGGGCATCCCTGAACTGATTGATCATACAACAAAATAAATTTAAAACCGTTTATAGGTTCATAACAGAAATACATCCCCTCGTCTCACCATCTAGACTATAATGATATTTCCTTTTAGATTTTAAAATATTAAATGTCTAAGATACATAAGTATTTCTTCCTCTTTACAAAAAAATAAAATTGTAGTCTTGAGCTTAGCAGCTAACGACTCTTGTTTTAAATCAACCAGTGTCTCTATTGCAATAGCACTACTAAGTGTTATCCACTTTTCGTAAGTAAACACTAGTAAAGACTGCCAAAGCACATCTAACATTTTCCCCTCTCTCTCTCTATATTTGTTCGCTTGAACGTGCGCGAAAGATATACAAAACAACTGTCTCTACTTTTAAATGTTTGTTATTACCGTCGTTTTTAGTTAATTTACGTTATATGAAGATAAACTTTTGCATTATTAGCCCTAAGGGAGCTATTGTCGTATGCAACAGCAATTGAAAGAATTGAACAAAAACAAAAAAAAAAAAAAGTTTCTTTGTTGTCGTAGTGGTTAACATTGTAAAGATAAATAAAAAAAAAAAATTTATAAATAAAATGAAAAATTATTCGAAATTTCTAGAAAAATAATAAATAATTATAATTGATATATTAAATAATTCGAAAATATATGAAAATATCTCTCAGCTGTTAATGTAATAAATACTTTTTGTTTTTATTTATTTATTTTTTTTTTTTTGTTTTTCTGTTTTCTACTTTTACTTTTATTAATTTTTTTTAGTTTACTTGTTATGAATTTTTTTTTTTTTTTTTTTTTATAAAACAAAACCAAATTAACAGACAATGTGTTTCATTTCGAGCGTATAAATCATTAGAAGCATCAACACAATGACAATAATAACAATACTTTGCAATAACAATAGACATACTGATAAACAGATGCACACACACACACACACATGCATACATACATACATACACATTTATCCATTCACACATTAGAACAACAATATAAAACAACCGTAATAAACACATTACTATTGTATATGAGCTTTTTTTTTTCTCTCTCTCTCTCTATTTATCAGCATACACAACCATAGAATTATGTATGAAAACATGCATTCATCTATGTGTATATGAATGGGTGTCAGATATTGACATCGTTACATATGTTCAACGTATGTTTTCGTACATATATACAGGTTTGTGTGTGTTTTTTTTTTTTTTATGCCTATTTGCTCTCGTTTAGCTTCATTCAAGCATTTTCACAAAGCACTCATAATGCATTAAATAAAAAAAAAGAATTCGATATCATTACAGCCATCACTACAGCGGAGAAATATTATTAGATTTGTTAAATGTTTATCACAGATGGTGATAAGCAGCGTAAAAAAGGAATATATTGTTGTCCAGCATGCAATACTGAAAATGATTTGAAAGCGTCTGATTGCCCTGCCCGTCTGTTTATTCGAACTGTTAACTCGTTATCACAATTCGAACGTATTTTTGCTCAGAAGAAGGTTTATACTTGAAGTAGATACATATGAAGCCGGGTTTGTTGCCTATGTAAAAGGCAATATTCTTTTCGAAATCTTAGCCATCGCATTAGCTACGCATGTTTCCGATAATTTATCGATTGCATGCCAGAAAAGACTGTTGTTCTTTCAATTATTAGCGTAGCTTTCCGCTTAGTTGGTGGATAGTTGGAAGAACTTTCCCATGAATTCGTACGCCCGTGAATCTAGAAATAGACCTATTTTTCATCCTCAATTAAGATAAGAGGAAAAAAAGACATTCCGTTATATCATTCGGGAGAAAGGCAAGCTTTGTCGGCAAACCCTCTTTATTTAGCGTAGAACGTAATATTTTCGTTACAAATGCTCTTTTTGCTTGCGACTTATATAGATATAGTTTTGATGGCTAAAATCACTCAGGAGATGTCCGCTATTCGTGCAACGCAATGACGTTTAGAAAGTAGTGAGAGGAGAGAAAGACAGCAAGACATAGGGATGTGACGGCAACAGCTTAGTAGACGTGGACCCAATCGATAAGTGTTATGCTTTCACCGAGTGACCACTGACTCACTACAGCTACGATCAAAGTTAAGTCAGGCATTGAAATTTGAATAAGCGAACACTGACTTGCTAGTCGCGTTGCTTAACCTTTTCGACTAGTTATGGGGATATGCTTGTTTTACGACAGCTTATTATTGCCAGATACAAAAATTATTGAAAAAAACACCACTTCGGACACGTTATATTAACGCCATCTACAAGTGAATTCCGGTTAGAATGGAAATTAAAACAATGATTAGGAAGACCCTAAAAACCCCATTGCCTTAATTTATTGCCCTAGTTCGGTCTTGATCCGATCTTCAATAAAGAAGTGGCCAAAGGATTTATCGCATTTACAAGGGGAATATTCTTAATGGAGGGGCTGTAAGCAAATATCGTTTTTAATTTGGACAATAACGTATGAAGTGTTGTCAAGCTACGTAAAATATCTTACACTATGTAATGTAAATCTATTAAATGGATCTTTGCTTCAATCTATAAATAAATATCGCATATAGAATCCTAGGTTAGAAATACAAAACGTAAGTAAGCAGTCTTCAACAATTTTACTGACACAATTTCCGGCTTTTCTGTCCTCTACGTCTGTTACTAGGTTACGTATTTCCTTACCGAATAAGAAAGTGGTCAAAGAAGGAAGGAAACGTTTCACAATTTAGAGGCAGTAAGTAAATAATGTTTTCAACTTGGACAATAACCGATGGAGCCATGCTAAGCGATGTAAAATAGCTTAAGCTATATAATGTAAATCTATTGAATGGATCATATAAATACATATTGTATCTAGAATGATAGGTTAAGAAGACCGAAGAAAGTGCGACCTAAACTGAGTACGAAATCTCTTTTCGACAGCATTTGATTTTTATATTATTTTTATGTCATATACGCCTATATAAGCCTTTATATGCACATGAGCCTGAATAATAAAG